TCAGATGGCAGAAGTGGAGGTCTCTCAAACTCCAATAGCCATCTTTGAAGAACCAAATGAAGCTGAAGATAGTGACTCCCTCTCCAGATACATATCAAATTTTGCACTTGATGAAGCTGAAGGAGAATCTGAGAGGACACTAAAGGTCACTGATGAAGAAGATGTACAAGAAGATGCTGAATCTCTTCCTTTGCAACTCTTCCAAAGGACATCATCTCCTCATCAGGTAACCAATTTTCATTTCCATAGCTCTTCAACCCCTACCCTTCCGGATGAGATACCGGAAATCTGGACAAAGAAGGTCCAAGGGCTGATTGAATCAGCCCTAGCATCTCAACATGCCTCCTTTAGGCAAGAGATAGAGCTAATGGAAGCCAAACACACTCAGCTGATAGAGAAATCTGAAGAGAAACACAGCGCTGATCTCAAGGAGATAAGTAAATCAGTAGAAAAGACTCTAGAGATCATCTCTCTATTGAGTAAAACTGTGAGCAATACGATGGAAATATACACCTCTGACAGTCAACTGCAATTCAATGAATTCAACAAAGTCAAGGAGCAAATAGCAAATGTCACAGTTGGTCTACAAAAACAGATGTCCCTTCTCCAAATGGACATCAGATCAGCCCTAGCAATAGCTTCAGCAAATCAGGTAGTAACCAAAGACTACTTGAAGGTGATCAATGACAATCAAAAGGAAGCATACAAGCTGTTCAGACTTATTGGTGCACATACTGGGAACCGCAAGATGGAAGTGATTCTCCAACAACACAATCCATCTCCAATACCACAGCTCCCAATTGCAGTCAACGAAGGAGAAGCATCTTATATCCCTTCTCATCTAAACATGACAAATTTAATCCTTGAAGCACAGCAAAGAAATCCGGAAAACTCAGCACAGCACCTATCTAGCTCAGGACTGGATGGAACAGAATTTATAGGTGCAGTTACTGACCACTTCTCAGATGCTACTCAATCAGAAGAAAGGCGTGAGAACTTAAAGCGCATCAAAGAACTGTGTGGGAACATGCAGGGCATCAGTGAGGTTGCCGGATCTTCAAAACGCAAAAGGACTGAAGGTTCTTTTCATCAAACCAGGGGGAAAGTATGTGAAAACACCAATTTGTTTTGATGAAAACACCTTCCTGTTTAAACATTGTTTGATTGGTTTAAACATTGCAACACTGCTTCAACAATTTTTAATTGCGCTTATTATGCTTGATTATGTTTATCTCAAGTATGATTTTGTCTTAATTAATTTTTCTGAAGCACATACATTCAGGGGGAACTTACCTAGTTTTAGCTAACAATTGTTTTTGGCTATGAATTATTGATGAGCTCTAAGCAATGGGAGTCGGATATCTCAGTTTTGGTACTAAAATTGGAAATCTCCGATTCAGGTACTTTACAAAATCTGTCTTCTTAAACTAAGCTTTAATCCTTAATTCATTTCCAACTAGCTCTAAAAGTACTGGTCCTTAGGATTTTTATAATGTACAGGACTTTGGAAAAATAGTACCACTTTTCTTTTAAAAATAAATAAAAATTCATATTTGTTTTGGTACTACCTCGTCCTAAGTAGAAATTAGAACTATAGGGAATGAAAAATGATAGTTTTATTTTGGGCCTTGAGTACATAGCTTTCTTTTCTTTTTGGGCCACTCTTTTGGGCTTAGCCAAACTAAAACAGTTACGTTTCTCAAACCAAATGAAACTGATTTTCTAATTGGAACAGTTTCAATCCATTCGTAACTGGTAAAAGATTCCTTTTACTTTTCAACTTCTTGGAAGTTGAAACTCCTTTACTCTCACCGTTCCAACTACCCACTT